AGGATGCTGGTGAGGAAGCACTTAGATGGAGGCAGTCAGCTGGTGCAGGTAAGCGGCCAGTTCAGTTCTGCTTCATTCCTCCTTTTACAGACTGATGTGCTGTGAAGACAGCACTGACAACAAAACCTGTGAAATTCTAGTACAGATTTCCTGCAATACTGGAATCGTTTCAGAGGAAGAACAGCTGTTTTCATGGGTAAGAACTGTGATAAAGGTACAAAATAAAAAACTGAGTGATTAGGAGGAAGGTTTCTTATCTCACTGAATAATGTAAAAACTGCTTCCGTGTTTAATCTGAAGGACCTGCCTGGTCCTAGCCTGCAACTACTTGCAGAGACTGCCTTGGGCTAGAGTTGTGCTTTTGGGATCTGCAGACTGGTGCCTTGCTGATTCTTTCCCCAAGACACCCTCTGGACCCAGTTTAGCTCAGTTCTATGACTGCAAAAACCAGAACAAAGCCATCCTGTGCTTTGGGTTGTTGCTGAATTTAGGGCCTAAGGCAGGAGATATCCCACAGTTTGGAACCATCCCCTACCTGGTATACATGAATGATGAGCTGCTCTCTGCTTCCACACTCCAGCTGGCAGAGGGAGCACTGTGACAGTTCCAGCATAGGGTCAGCATTCAAACTCTTGGGCACCTACAGGGAGGAAAAGCCACTCTGGTGTAAAGCACACACTCCACTCTCCCTTAGTATCTAGTCAATACTGCTAGGCAGGCCTTGGCCAGATCAAGGGCTGTGTGCCCAGTCCTACTGGGGCTGGCTCATGTTCTTGCAGACTAAAAATTCCTTTATGCAGCCTCTGAGCAAAACTCTTGCTGTCTCCAGAACAGGCAGAGGCCTCATGGCCTCCAAGTGCATCCAGGCTCTTCCAGCACAGTGGTAGGCAAGGACTGCTCTGTAGCAGAAGGGAAGGGGAAGTCAAAGAAAGGCACCAGGACTGAAAGAAGAAGGCACACTGCACAATCATCTTGGACAGCCAGGAGAACCATAGTTCGTGCAGGCTATTTCCTGCTCCTAGCAACCCAAGAGCTCTTCATACCCTTTCCTCCTGTCAGGAGGTGTTTAGAGAAGGTGGGAGGGAGAAAAAGACAAGAAATAACAATGGGGAGAGAAGGTGTTTAGATAGTACCCTTCTCTCTCCCTGAGAGGCCAAAGTGAGTGCAGCACCAGTACACACTTGCCTCATTTCCTCTCATCAGTGGGGCTCCAGCTACAGGTTGTTCAGCATTCTCTAATTCTTTCTTCACTTTCACCTTTGAGCCATCCTCCTCAGATGTATGGGAAGAAATTGCATCCCGGGTGATTTTCTCATCATCACTGCCACCTAGAACATGCAGAACAGTAATTCCAAGTGTCAGGACCCTGAGAACACTCCCAAGCCTTAGCTGTTCTGACCAGCATCACCCAGAGCCTCTACTCACCCCCTCAGACCAGGGGCTCCATTTAAACTCAGGCTGACACACTTCAGTCCCTGAAATGCTCTGTAGAGTCCCTGGACCTGGCCTGTTAGCCTGCCTTGCTTGACAGTCACTTGGACTGTCAGCTGGACCTCCTTCTATTACCACCCTGCTCTGCTAAACTGGGACTGCATTCTGGTGGTGAGGTCATTACCCAGTCTGGGGGGTGGTGGTTCTAGGCTCTAGGATTGCATTTCCTTAGGGAGCAGCCCTGCTTTTGCTGTTTGTTGACAATCCTGCATGGGAGCCAAGGGCTAACTCAGAGGAGACAGGTAAGACAGCCCTCAGAGGATCACTACAAGCTGCACAGCACCTAGCCCCATGTCACAGTCTCCGCAGTCTGCTACCTTGCCATTATTGGAAGGGGCAGAACTCACTGCTGCTGGAGTCAGGGTCTTGCAGCAGATGAATTGCTGGCCCCTGGTCCCCAAGAGCTCCAGGAAAGTTGTTTTTCATTATGGTTTGGCAGGTTTGCTCCTCCAGCCCTGCAAATACTTGCTCCCCTGGCAGCCACAAGGACAGAGTCAGACTGATGTCGCTGCATTGCTTTCACCACCAATGCTTGCCAAAAACAGAATAATCATGGGGCTGCTCACCTGCACTGTGCAGAACCTCTGAAGTCACCTCTCAGAAATCATTTAAGCAACTTCTCTGCTTGCCTGCCCTATGGAACACCAGCCTCTTGTACCTGGCTGAGGTGAGTCCAGCCCCTGTGTGTAGAAGTCTCGCTAGTAGAAATGTCCAGCATTGGGCTGCTTTCTGCATATACTTTATATGCTACTCCAGCCACAAAAAAAAACAACTGTGAGATCCCATCTATCTGCTGTATGTAGCCAGGTGACTTTCTCTGCTACCAGGCTATCTGCCAATAGAGCTATAGTACAGCTCTGGGTGGGAGGGAAAGCCACTGAGGGATGATGACAGCATACCAGATCAGGCACAGCGCTATATGGCTCCTGGAAATCATTAAGTCCTATTCCTTGCTATAAAACAACTTAGACAAAACCAGTATCTCCCTGAGTGCCTGGCACCTCACCTGCCTTCCATAGTGCTACCAAAACCAGGGCTTGTCTTTGGCATGCTCTATCACCACCATCTGTCCCAGGAGGACTGAGGACACGCTGCCCTCCTGTGGAGAGTGTTCTCACAGGAGAATGGATAATTGGTACATAAACTGAATAATCCTGAAAGATACAGCAAGGCTGTGAGAGGCCCGAGGAAGCTTAAGCAAGCAAGCTAAGAAGCTGGAATTCACCGAGTTAATGAGAACTGTGGACTTTCGAGGTCAAGTTCTCACACCTGTGCTTAACCAATCATGTGTTAGTCACTAAGGGTCTTCAGGACATGTATCCAATCATAATATGCCAAATCACTGTAAGTGCATGTAAGAAATGGTATATAAGGAGTTAAAGCTTTGTAATAAATTGGCATTCACTGATCACATTGATCGTTCCTGGGTTGTCTGTGACTCCTGTGTCGACAGCCCTCCAAGAAGGCATTTGTGCTCAGAGCTGGTGTTCTGCTTACATGATGGATAACTTACTTCACTACCTTGTCTTGCCCAGGAATGGCTCTGGCTAAAATAAATCTCAGTGACATTTCAATGCTCAAAACAGAAAACTAAGGGAATGAACCCAGAAAGCTGAGATACTGGATTAGGACAGCTTACAGTCTGTTGAAAAACACTGATCACTACTACCTCAACTCAATAGGAGATGGCAAATGAATTGAAAGAAGCAACTATTTGTGCCTCTCTGAAAGAAAACTTCTTACAGCAATCTGTTCAAGGAGAACTTTTGGTTCCAAAGAATAACAATTAAAGGCAACCATTAATTTTCATATTTAATCAAACAAATGTTTTTGTTCCAGGTTTTACCTCTCAGTGGATGAGCTGGGAGTACTTGGGGCAAGGTGCTGAAATTCCCAGTGGGGCAGCTTTGGGGTTAAATCTATCAACCGATGCATAAGTTCTCAAAAACCATTCAAAGCATAAACGCAAAAATGATAAGGAAGACAGTGCATTTTTCACATAAAACCAAAGCAAAAACATAACTTTCAGAATAAAATTGTGCCTTTTAGTACAGGGCCACAACTGGCAACAGCATAACCTGGGAACTGAATTCTTGAGCCAGGGAGAGAGCACCAGTCCTGTTACAAGGACAGATACATTCCCATATGCTAAGTTGTTTCAGCCAGCTTTGCCCCATGTTCATACGCTGCCTTCTGGTGCTTACCTTGCAATTTCCAGCAGTGCTTTAAAAAGCAGTAATTTAAGGGAGATTTCAAAGACCTACAGAAGTTTCATGGAGACCGTGGGAGAAGAGTTTTAGTTCCCAACATTCTCATGGAGGTTTCCAAAAGCATTTGAAAGCATTTATCATTCTGTTTCAGAAATGCAAGAAAGGTTTCTGTGGAGATAAGAACACAATCCACACAGGCTGGAGAGAGATGATGAGGAGCACCCAGAGACTATTTGTCACCAAAAGCAGCAGGTACTATCATGATTGCTGTGACACATGTACTCCCATCAGAAGCCACTCCAGCACTGAATGGTTTTCATAGCCTGGAGCGCTGCTTTTAGTTCTGGACCACAACCTCACATTGGTGGGACCAAAATACAGACTGCATGAACAGCAGACACTACAGAATTAGTGCTTCTCCAAGAAGCAGATATGCACCAACCACCAGGATAAAAGTTAATAAGCAGACTAAAAAAGCATTGCAAGACAAAGGAAAGTATGATGAAACCTGCCCAATACAGGACAGATGTAAATCTATGGTGGGAGATATGCTACCTGTGACAATTACAAAACAGGATTCCCAAACACCACTACAAGTCCTAGTGGAAGTAGTTAAGTACTTGTTTTCTTCCCCTTTTCCCCTTCCAGGTGGCTTATGTTTCCACTGAGCAGCAGCCTAGAGCCTAATAGCAGCATGTTCCTGCTCAGATATGCAGACAGTCTGCAAGATTTTAAATACTGTAATCTTTATAAGGTGGCTGAGGAAACTCCTCCTGTCAGTAACCCTAGCATCAATCACAACTGAGAGTGATCATGTCTGCTAGTGGCCTTTCTATACAACATACCCAAAGCCAAGTTAGAATTGATTCATCACAGTACAGAGAACTACCAGCTCACAGCCAGAAATGCAAACTGCTAACCAAACCAGTGCTGTTAGCAGATGACATCTTGTGCATTCTCCACTAGCCTGTATCTAAAAAAGCATCACGTGATTGGGAAAAAATAAACTTTTAAAAATGCCATCTTTAGCTTATACAGAATTTATCATGTATGAAACTAATATTGTTTCCAAAAAAAATAAGGAAGACTGTCCCTTTCACCTACTGATGGACTAAGTCCTACTTTGATGAAGCTTTAGCACTTTAATGTTTGATAGGCTACACTTGTTTCTGCACACACGTGCTCACACAGACACAACCCCACCCCACTTTGAATACACTTCCATTCATTTGGAAAGGGAGTAAGGCAGGTGACAGCTGTAGGATCACTTCTATCAGTAAAGGATATTATGTTGAATAGTGAATTCACAGGCTCTTCTCCAGAAGTTTCTTTATTAAACACAAAAAGGGCTGCAGGCTGACCACAACACCAAAACAGGCATACTACAAAAGCAAACAAACAAAAAAAAACAACCCACACAACCCAACAACGCCCACCAAATACCCCCAAAAAACACCAAAACAAAAAATACCAAAACAAACCAAAATAAAACCACACCAAAACAAGTCACTGTATTTGTTTTACAAACAGATAGAGACATAGGACAATGAAAGATCATACATATGCCTCTGCTTTGCATTCCAGTTCTCCTCTCCATACTCCTGTAAATGAGTGGGATGCCAGGTGAGCAGCTGTGGGGGTAGGGGTCAACCCCATGGAACTGTGCAACAGGGGCAGTTATGACTGCTAGGATCTGCCACAGTATCAACTTGGTAGCCAGAAATATTTTTCCTCAGCCTTTCCCTTCTTGAACTATATGAATGCAGGCAAACAACCCCCACCCCAAAACTCACACACACACAAAAAAACAACCAAAAAACACCCACCCCAAAATACAACCAAAAACCAAACAAAAAAAAAAAAAAAAAGAAACTGCATCATTCCCCATTCCCCTCTCTTCCTTCCTAAACAGAAATGACTCTCAGATGAGCCACTTTATTCCCTCCTTGTACATCAATTTAAAGTCCCCATTCATGTAGGTCTTCTGTGTTCCTTTCCTGGACCTGAAATTTGTAAGTCTTTACACCACTGTGGATCTAATCCACCTTCCCCATCACTATTCTGGGTTGTCCACACTGCTGTAGTGGTTACTGAAATGAAAAACAACACAATTGAGTTAACAACAACAGCCCACAGAGCCCTTTGAGAACTAAGGATTTTGACACAATTAACATTTCTGCTTGGTTTTGAATCCTGGGTGCTATGTCTTGCAAGATACTTGCAAAGGGTACAAGCAATAGAAAGAAAAATAGCCCATGGGACAGCAGGGAGAGAAATAAAAGCACACACTAAAATCTGCAGCAAGTTTTTGGCAAGCAGAAGAGCAGCGATTAGCCCCTAACCGATGGGGCTTGAACAAAAGATTAGATGAACTGCTTAGAGAGATTTTATACTTTAGGACTCTGGAGGAAAATAAAGATCAAATTGACTCAATTAAGATATTTCTACAGTTTCCTGGGTTCAGCTGTATCTCCTTCTTCGTAGCTGGTGCAGTGCTGTGTTTTCAGCTTTAGCCTGAGAACAATGCTGATAACACATTGATGTTTTAGTTGTTGCTAAGTAATGTTTACCCCGATCAAGGACTTGTCTCTCATGCTCTGCCAGTGAAGAGGGGCACAAGAAGCTGGGAGGAAGCAGAGACAGGACACCTGACCCAAACTAGCCAAAGGGGTATTCCATACCACAGCACACCACACCCAGTATAGAAATGGGGGAGGGTGTTACCTGGAAGGCCCAGATCACTGCTTGGGTTGGGCTGGGTATTGGTTGGTGGGTGGTCACCTTGTTATTTCCCTTATCATTATTATTAGCATCCCTCCCAGAGTGGGGATGAAAGGGGGGGAGTGAGCAAGTGGCTGTGTGGTTCTGAGTTACCGGCTGGGCTTAAACCATGACACACAAGAACAATTAACTGCATTGTAGTTTTCAGTTCAACATGGAATGGGCAATGCGCTAAGTTTATTCCAGTATTACCATTTTCCCAGGTGTGTTTTTCATGCACCATGTGAGAAAACAAAATTAAATTATTAAGAACCAATTACGTGCTGCAGCCCTGCCAAAGGGGAAATTACTACAATTAGCACTGTAGAAGGACTGGCCACTATGCACAAAGAGACTTTTGTGATAATTTTTATCATTGTTTCTGTATTCTTTTGAATTTCCTTACACATCAACTTCCATTTAAAACTATTTTGTAACCACGTGACTTCCCAGCCAATCTGCATGCCAAACAGAACAATTCTGTGCTAAGTGAGGACAGCAAACCATGCTGTTGTGAGAACAAGATTAAATGGGGGCCATGCCAAACTTGGAAAATAACCCTGGAAAGAGGTAGCACCAAGCAAGCCAGGAGAGATCTGCAGCTGTTGTTTGCCCTAGTGAATCCACGAAAGAAGATAACATGGAGCAGTCATGCAAGAAAGTAGGCACCATCCTCCCACACATTTGTCCAGTTAGATATTTACGGTAGTAAGAGGGGCGGCATTCCGAGGAGGAGGCTCAATGTTAATAATTTCCAAATAGCTGCAGTGAGGGACAGCTTTCAGGCTAACCTTCAAACTAGGCTTGAAGACCAACTTATAGATTCTTCTCCTGAAGCGCTTTGGCAACATATTAAAAATAGCATCCTGCAGTCCTCTGTAGAATCCATTGGGTTCTCCTCAAAGAAAAAACAAAGACTGGTTTGACGATAGCAACCAGCAGGTCCAGGAATTGCTGACAAAAAAGAGATCTGCTCATCAATCACACCTCGCTCAGCCACTCTGCCATGTAAGAAAAACAGCCTTTCGTCTTGCATGCAGCAAACTCCAACAGAAACTTAGAGACATCCAGAACAAGTGGTGGGTCAACCTAGCAGAAAAGACTCAACTATGTGCAGATTTGGGTGACCACAGAGGATTCTATGAGGCTCTGAAGGCAGTGTATGGACCCACATTTCAGGTTCAAAGCCCCTTACTTAGTGCAGATGGCCAAACGCTTCTTACAGATAAAATCTCCATCCTGAATTGTTGGTCTGAACATTTTCAAACCCTCTTTAGTGCTAATCGTGTAGTCCAAGGCGAAGGAATCCAGCACATTCTGCAACATCCGGTGAAAAACGAATTGGATTTAGCCCCTACCATGGGAGAGACTCTTAAGGCCATACAGCAGGTGAAAACTGGCAAGGCAGCTGGGGTTGACGGAGTCCCACCTGAAATATGGAAGCATGGAGGCCAAGCACTTCATGCTAAATTTCATGAGCTAGTTGTGTGCTGTTGGGAACAAGGCAAAATACCGTCAGACTTTCGTGATGCAATCATCATCACTCTGTATAAGAAAAAAGGTGTCAAGTCAGACTGCTCAAGCTACCGTGGTATAACTCTGCTCTCCATTGCTGGAAAAATTCTTGCAAGAATACTATTAAACAGACTAGTACCTGCTATCACAGAAGAACTTCTACCTGAAAGTCAGTGTGGTTTTAGAGCTAATAGAAGTACCACAGACATGGTATTTGTTCTCAGACAACTGCAAGAAAAGTGTAGAGAACAGAATAAGGGGTTATATGTAACTTTCATTGACCTCACCAAAGCTTTTGACACTGTGAGCAGAAAAGGCCTGTGGCTGATCTTGGAACGATTAGGTTGTCCCCCCAAGTTCCTCAAAATGCTTATTCTGTTACATGAGGATCAGCAAGGCCAAGTCAGGGCCTTGCACTCTCTGAGCCTTTCCCAATAACCAATGGTGTGAAACAAGGTTGCGTTCTCGCACCGACCTTATTCACAATCTTCTTCAGCATGATGCTCCAAAGGGCTACAGCAGACCTCGACGAACAAGACGGCATTTATATTCGATATCTTACCGATGGTAGACTATTCAATCTAAGGCGACTGAAGGCCCACACTTAGACCCTAAACCATCTTGTCCGGGAACTGCTTTTTGCTGATGATGCCGCCCTTGTTGCCCACACAGAAGCAGCTCTGCAGCGTTTAACATCTTGCTTTGCGGAGGCGGCTGAGGTTTTTGGGCTGGAAGTCAGCTTGAAGAAGACAGTAGTCCTCTACCAACATGCACCGCAAGAAGATTATCGCCATCCCCACATTACCATTGGAGAGTCAGAGCTTAAGACAGTTCAGCAGTTCAGCTATCTGAGAAGCATAATTTCCTCGGATGCCACAATCGACAAAGAGATAGACTCTCTTTCTTGTAGCCTTTTATGAGGAAATAACACGGTGGATGGATGATGGTAGAGCGGTGGATGTGGTCTACCTTGACTTCAGCAAAGCGTTTGACACGGTCTCCCACAGCATCCTTGTGGCTAAATTGAGGAAGTGTGGTCTGGATGATCGGGTAGTGAGGTGGACTGTGAACTGGCTGAAGGAGAGAAGCCAGAGAGTTGTAGTCTATGGGGCAGAGTCTAGTTGGAGGCCTGTATCTAGTGGAGTGCCTCAAGGGTCGGTACTGGGACCAGTATTATTTAATATATTCATCAACGATTTAGATGAGGGAATTGAGTGTACTATCAGCAAGTTTGCTGATGACACTAAGCTGGGAGGGGTGGCCGACACGCCAGAAGGCTGTGCTGCCATCCAGAGGGACCTGGACAGGCTGGAGAGCTGGGCGGGGAATAACTTGATGAAATATAACAAGGGAAAGTGTAGAGTCCTGCATCTGGGCAGGAACAACCCCAGGTTCCAGTATAGGCTGGGGAACGACCTGTTAGAGAGCAGTGTAGGGGAGAGCGACCTGGGGGTCCTGGTGGACGACAGGGTGACCATGAGCCGACACTGTGCCCTTGTGGCCAAGAAGGCCAATGGCATCCTGGGTTCTATTAGAAGGGGGGTGGTTAGTAGGTCGAGAGAGGTCCTCCTTCCCCTCTACTCTGCCCTGGTGAGATCTCATCTGGAATATTGTGTCCAGTTCTGGGCCCCTCAGTTTAAAAAGGACAGGGACCTGCTGGAGAGAGTCCAGCGCAGGGCAACTAAGATGATTAAGGGAGTGGAGCATCTCCCTTATGAGGAAAGACTGAGGGAGCTGGGTCTCTATAGTTTGGAGAAGAGGAGATTGAGGGGTGACCTTATTAGTGTATATAAATATATAAAGGGGGAGTGTCACGAGGATGGAGCCAGGCTCTTCTCAGTGGCAAACAATGAAAGGACAAGGGGAAATGGGTACAAATTGGAGCACAAGAGGTTCCACTTAAACCTGAGAAGAAACTTCTTCTCAGTGAGGGTGACGGAACACTGGAACAGGCTGCCCAGGGAGGTTGTGGAATCTCCTTGTTTGGAGACATTCCAAACCCGCCTGGACACGTTCCTGTGTAACCTTATCTAGGTGTTCCTGCTCCGGCAGGGGGATTGGACTAGATGATCTTTTGAGGTCCCTTCCAATCTCTAACATACTGTGATACTGTGATACTGTGATAGACAACAGAATAGCAAAGGCATATAGAGCCTTCAGAAAACTCCATAAAAGAGTCTGGTGCAATAAACACCTGAAGAAAAGTACAAAGATCAGTGTCCATAGAGCCATTGTATTGTCTACTCTTTTATATGGGTCTGAATCATGGGTCATCTACCGTCAGCACCTGTGACTCCTTGAACGCTTTCATCAGCGCTGCCTCCGTACAATTCTAAACATCCATTGGACTGACTATGTGTCTAATGTCACTGTCCTCAAAAAGGCAGGGGTCACCAGCATCAAGGCCATATTGCTGAAATTGCAGCTGCGCTGGGCAGGGCAC